AAATGAGAAGCACACCTCCCTGAAATTACTTATTTCAGGTTGGGATCCCTGGGGGGGTTGGGTTTGACAGAGGGAACCTCCCTGAAATTAGAAGGGCACCTCCCTGAAATGACTTATTTCCGGTTGGGATCCCTGGGGGGGGATGGGGGGGTTGGGTTTGACAGAGGGAACCTCCCTGAAATGAGAAGGGCACCTCCCTGAAATGACTTATTTCAGGTTGGGATCCCTGAGTTGGAGGTAATCGGATGTAAACGGGCGCACTTCCCTTTAGATTTGGCTGCCCATAGAGTAACACTGAGCAGTTTTTTTCAGGCGGATCTGATCTGAATGTCTGTGTGAAAGGTTTCTAAGGGCTCATGCACACGGCACATATACAGGCGTATGGTCATAGAGCACAAGATACGTCTGTATCTGTGGCCACAGCTGCTGCATTTTTCTGTACATGGGTATGTAAGGAAAGAAAATGCTGTACGCTGGTATACACGCATAAACACTGCAGGTTACCTGGGCCAAGTATACAGACAGCGAGGTCTGAAAAGTCAATACTTCCATCACACACACCTTCTTCCAGGGCAGTGACTCATTAAATCGTGTTATTAGGATAAGCATGGCTGCCCTGAAGCCTGGGCCTTCCAACAAGTCACTAATTAAACCTCCAATATTTATAACCTCAGAACCGCAGGGAAGCAAATTATGGGACAGATACTATAGATATCAACACAAAGACCACAAACGGGTCAAATCACAAACAGGTGTCAGCATAACATTTGTCAGGACATGTAAACATTGATATCGCCTATATCACGGGTGAGCAACCTTGGCACTCTACCTGTGCTAAAACTACAAAGCCCATCATGATCTGCCTCTGGGGGTCATGTCTGCAGCTGTCAGAGTCTTGCAAAGCCTCATGGGTCTTGTAGTTCCCCAACAGTTGGAGTGCAGAGGTTGCCTACCCCTGTCCTATATGAACAATTGATATGACACATATAATTGCTACAAGCTATTTTGTAAATTAATGTTATCAAAAATGTGACAATTACTTTTTTATTTTCAGTCAGCAGCCGTTTTGATTTTTAACCTGTCAAATAAATCAGATTTTGCTTCTTTGCAACCATGGCAACTGTACTACTCTATATATAGAATACACAGTGACTTTAATCAGCCAGCCAGACACAATCTTTAACTCGTTTTCCGACTGGTTGCTAGGAGTTTTAATTGGTAATCAGGCAACCTTC